CCTTCTTTTTTTTTTTTTTTTTTTTTTTGTGTTGAAAATATTCACCTTAGTTTTCTTTTACGTACTGGACACCCTCCCTCTCATTTCTCAAATCTCAACCAGCCCTAACTCACTCAGGCCATGCCACATGCTTCCGACTTCAGCTCCCTCTCAATCCTCACTAAACATCTGCAGCGCAGTTCTCCCTCTCAGTTCTCACTCTCAGCCCTCTAACACTGACTCTTACTCTCTTAATTCCAACTCATGCATTAGCCTTCATCTCAACTTCACTCGTTCTCATCTTATCTATCAGTCACCATTGAAACAAAGCCGACCAAACTGACGGGTGATTAGACAATTTATAAAGCCATCAATTTACACTATGTGAAAACCAATACGCCAGTTTATGGCATCAGTTTGGACCCAAAACCACCGCTAACCAATTGTTATGCACCCCTAGTTCTTTCTCTGAGGTTTTTTGTTGTAAATGTACAAGCTCTATAAACAACAATTAACCTAACCAACTATCAGCAGCTAATCAAAAACTGAATCACATAGCCTAGCAACACAATGGACACACAAACTAGCTTAAATCTGCCGTCATATTTTGGGGGAGCAGAGAAACAAAGCACTTTCGATGAAACAGACAATTTTGGAGATTTGGGGATCTTTCAGACCACTTGACCTTGCTAATGGAGTGCCTGGACATTTTTATAATCAACCTCCGTCAGCTTTAAAATGAGTGTTACCACAACTCCTTTGACTTAGAGATTATCTTATTATTAATACGTATGCACTGGGTTGGGGTAGAGAAGGGGAGTATTGAGGGTTTCGGGTGGGTGGAGACAGAGTTGGGCTTTAGTATCTTTAGATTTCTTATGGTACTCTTTTCTTTTGACCCTTCCAAGTTGAGTTTATGAGCTTCTTAGTGTGGTGTCGGGTGAATCACTTTACTGTGGCTGTCTCATATCCTGGGCTTCCTCCACGTCATAACCTCAGGAGTAAGGTTTTTTGGAATCCGACTCTTGAGAGAATTCAAAATTGTTTCTCTTCTTGGAAAGGAATTTTGTTCCCTGAGAGAGGTATACTTACCCTTGTTTATGCGGTTTTGAGTGGGGTTCAAGTCTATTTCCTTTCTCTTTTTAAAATCCTAGTGTGGGTTAGTACGGCAGTGAAGAAGATCTTGAGGGATTTCTAATGGGAGGGGGTTGATAAGGGGAAAGGATCTCATTTAGTTAGTTGTGAAGTGCTTTGTAGCCTTTAGAGTTGGGGGGTTTCGGCGTTAGTGCAACGCTCCATGCCCAGGATTCAAACCCAAACCAGGATTTGGAATCCAGATCATAGCCCAGGACTCTAGCGTCACAGTTGGTAACCTAAGGTGCCAAAATGAGGCTTTGTTGGCTAAATGGATGTGACATTTCTTTTAGGAGCCTAATTTTTTATGGCATAAGGTCACTGTGAGCAAGTATGAGCCACACCCTATCAAGTCAGTCTCTAGTAGTGGGCATTTGGGTTTGCTTAACGATCCCTAGAAAGCTATTTCTTCCTTGGTCCCCTTCCTCTCTCAATTTGTTTCTTGTTCCATTGGGGAATGGGTTCATGACTTATTTCTAAGAAGACCACCGGGTGGGGGAGGGATATTTTCTCTTTATTACCTCACTTGTATCTCCTTTCTGATTTGAAGATGCACCTTGTGGCCTTTGTATTGTACCTTCAGAATCCTCTTCCTAATTGTCCTTGAAGCTTTGTCATCCATTGACAAATAGGGAGCTGTTGGAAGCTTTTGAGTTGCTAGTTTTGGTGGGAGGATGCCCATGTCTTTCAAGGGAAGAGAGACTTCCACTTTTGGACTCCTAGTCCATCCCAGAATTTTCTTGCACCTCTTGTTGTTGCTTTTATATGCCCCCTCTCTCATCCCCAATGCCGCTGTTCTCGTCGCTTTGGAGGGCTAAAATCCCAAATAAGATCAAGTTCTTTGTTTGGTACGAGAAAGTCGACACCCTAGATTGTGTGGAGAGGCATTCTTCTCTCCGTTTGGGACCTCAGTGGTGTTCCCTGTGAGAAGCATTAGAGGAACTTGACCATCTTCTTCGGAGTTGAGGGATTCTTCTTTTTTTTTTTTGTATGTTTTTGTATATTCGTTCAGTTTCTTGAAACACACACACACACACACACTGAACCTCGAGTATCAAAATCAACATTTTGTAATCGTTGCCTACGACTATTTGCTAGCATTCATTTCAAATTCAACATTCTCCAAGTCCAAGAGATGGAACAACTACCCATCAAGAAAGAGGATTGTCCTATGAGCTTCATATCCCCAAACTTAAGCTTCTCAAAAACTAAAAAACAGTAATAATAACGTATAAACATGTACCAGGAGATGCAGGTCTACAAAATTATCAATGAGAAGCGGCGGAGAAATTCTCCACGAGTTTCTTGTCCCTGCGTTCCATGGCAACGTCCCACATATCATTACCGATGTGCTTCGGCTGCAAAACCAAAGGAAAAAAAAAAAAAAAAAACGAACAACATATAGAGATCGTTGATCGAAACTGAGAGAAAGGGGATCCATTGAGCAAAGAAGAGAGAAAAAATCAAAATTAAAACAAGTACAAAGTTAATTACCCGGCCATGTGCGGCTTTGTGAATATGATATTGAGCATTCCCCATTATACAGAGCATTCCGGCGATAATTCCAAGAGGAAGTGCCGCTTCCATCCATCTCCATGCCATTTTTCTCTCTCCTGTCAAAAATTCCGGTGTCTTCCGATGGCTGCTCGAGCTCGACGATTATCTCACACGGTTCATGGGCCTTGAATTGGGCTTGAGCGATATCCAAAGACCCATTATTTAATGGGCCAATGTTCGAAGACGGCCCAATAATTGATTGTGCGACACTGTTCACAACCAAACTCTTACCCACATGACATCAATTGTGCGACACTTGTTCTTATTCTACGACAAGTCAACTGTGTGAAAATTGAGCTTTACAGACAATCTTGACGAATGATTAAGTCTCGAGTCACGTTTGTCATAAAAAATATATTTATAAAACGTGAGCGATAAAATACATTCGAAGCAATTTGAAAGACAGTAATGTTCTTGAGCTGTTTATTCTCGATCTTGATATTGAATCATTAACTAGTTAGATATATACATTTTTGTTGTATAACAATAAAAACCTTTACAATTATTGCACGGAACTCTTAAGTTAAAGCTTCGTATATCGTTGAAGGTATAACTCCATAAGTTCTCGAGGTAGAACAAAAAAAAAAAAAGAGAAGCTCTACTCGCTTTCTGCTCGAGAATCAATGTTGGAAACTCTTCGATAACATGTCCATTTGAAAGGGCAATCATACCTTGGTTGTGTCGGTTTAGTATCGAGCTCTTTAAAGACATTTCTTCATTCATTCATGCTGGTAGTATTGTTCGTCGAATTCTTTGTAATGGTCGACATCCCAATATTCAACAAGATTATCACTTTTTGAATGTCTTTATGTTACATATCATGATGGGATATGTGGTATAGTGTCGTGATATTCTTTAAACTTTATCTCGATGCAATCAACAATGTCGTAAATATATGATTTTTGACTCGATGTTTGGGTAGATAGGAAGAAGAAAGACGTCTTTTTCTAAATTTTTTTATGGGTAACCGTAGCTTTACGGTAAGATGTCGAGGCGTGTTCGATAAAAAAATTCAAAATTTTAATATATAATTTTTTATTTTTTTGAAAATTTAATTTAATTTTTATATATATATATATATATGCAAAAATAAAACCCTAAAAATTAAAGAAATAATTTCTGCAAAAGAAAAAAAAAAAAAAAAAAAAAAAAAAAAAAAAAAAAAAAAAAAAAA